AAAAGCAGTGACTTTTTGGACTATTAATCCAGTTGCATAAAATGGAGAAAGAACCAGTGAGCTTTTCAGCAATTGTCTAATTAGATAGAAAACACAGGCTTTAGCTGAGGAGCACCATTCTGGCCCACAGTGGGTGGCACTCCCCAAAATGCTTTTAAAGAGAGCAGTTTGTGCTAACCTGAGCCTTCCAAACTGCATCAGAAATAAAAGCTCATAAGGTCAGCTCTTCTGAGTCAGACTGAAGGTCCATCTTCTGCTTCCAATATTAGCCAAGCAGATACTTCTGAGAACCCACAATTAGGACAAAAAGTCTCCTGTGATATTTGTTGCCTCTGCAGGCTCCATCTCATCATCATTTTCCAAGACTTGGAAAGTTGCATCCACAAACAAACAAAAAGGATTGTTTGCAGCAGACTTGTGACAAAGTTGGCATAATTGTAGAACTTTTAAGGCACATGTCATCTCACTCTCTATGCTGGATTGGTCGCAACTGCATAAATTGCCCAAGCTAGTTCCTGGGGGACCATAACTGCAGCTGGAACACCAAGGAGGACAAAAAGGTTCAAGAGCTTCTGCCAGCACATCACAGAGCAAGATGTTGCTTGCATGTAGTTATGCGCCATCTGAGGTTTGCATCGTAGCTCCCTCCAATGTTAGAAGGATGAATGTCTAACAGACACCAGGAACACTGAGGAGGGAGCCAGACCATTACAAGGGGGAGTTGGAGAGAGTCCTTAGCCCAGGGAAGGGGGGAAATGTGAAAAAAAGGCTCAGTAACTCCACCTTAATTATGCTAGGTATAAGTTGACCTGGAGAATTGCTCTCACAAGTTTTCAAGATCTTGTTGGATACCGTACTACCAATACAGATCTTCCAGAAATCCAGGTGGTTCTTGTTCCAGGTTGGCCAGCCTCACAGAGCTTGACAGCAGGGAATCCTAACATCTCAATTCTGAACAAAGCAGTTCAAACCTGACCCCAGCCTAGAACGATGGAAGTTCTTCTCTGGTCTCTGTGATTTGCACGCATGGATTATGGGCCTGTGCAGAGTCCTGTTTAAACCTCCCAGAACTTACATGTGATGGGAGACAGCCTGTGGGCATACTAGGTGACTAAATGCCATGCTTGCCAAATGACTTCAGATTAAAGTCATTTGGGAGGCATGGCATTTAGTCACCTAGGATGCCTACATCACAGTGCTAGGACATTTGTTTTGGGTTGATCTTCCTTCTGCTTATCAAGTGTCCTTATTTTTCCTTTCTTTGCTCAACCCCTTACACCACCTTGAGTTGTTTATCTGGGTAATTCTTCTGTTGAATTACTGCTCTAAGGGCCCCATTTCACAACTCCCAGTTTTTCAGTGGTATGGCATGAAGCAGGATAAATGCCATGTCTCCGCCACAGCTCCAGCTCCGTCAGCGTCAACAACTGATGGAGCTGAAGTTGTGGAGTTGTTCCTTCCCTTAACAACTGCCATCTCTACTTTGGCCAGCCCTGTTTTGATTGGCTCTCCAATCTCTCCTGTCCTTCATGCTCCTCTTCAGACATGGGAGTGGATCTTGGAAGGGAAGATTCAGGACAGATCCTCCTGAAGATCCATTCCTCCATGCTGCCATCTTGCCCATGAGGATAGTCGAAACAGACAGTCTGTCTCAAGATTACATAATTATAATTGGTCCCCTCATACCTATTCTTTTTCTAAGGGACATTTCTCCCCAATTAGACCCCTCAAATAAGTCAATTTTATTATGGTCCTAGGCCAGCAGATAGGACCAGTCTGTCCTCCCCTTCTAGGAAGGGTCACTGGCTCTCTTTTCATCAATCGGTGGATTTCCTGCAACAACTGAAGTTGCAGCATGGCAGGCTAGTCCACTTATTGAAGGTCTACATCTCCCCAAGCCATCAGATCACCTGACAGCTCTTGCAGCAGTGAGTCTCTTACCTTTAGGATTCATTTCTCCTCCATGATACCCTTTCAAGGCAGATCTGGCCTCGGAAAGCCACCTGCCCAAATTCCTTAGTCTTCCCTCAATCGGTGAGGCCTGCATTTGGTCTCAGGATTTGTCCCCTGTCATCTACCCAGAGGACCCATTTTGTTCATCCTGTAGTGGAGCTCATCCTCAGCAATGTCAACCTGATGACGATGACGACGACGATGATGACGATGCCTCTGCTGAATCTTCAGTCTGTTCAGTGTCTCCTTCAACATCATCACCCAGTGCTCAGTTTGGGAAGTAGGTTTTTCTGTTCGTGGTGATCCTTATTTGTAATGATATGTGGGAAAGACCTTGGGAGATGGGGCCAAGAGATGCTGCCAAGGGAGTGGTCAGATAAGAGATGGCATAGCCCCCAGCTGGATAGTGGGCAGGGCAAGGGGCTCAGAAGAGACCCACCCTAGTTTCTCGGGCTGTAAAGGAGATGGGGAGAATTGTACTTTCATACTTGCAAGATTCTATCAATGTCGCTTTACAATAAAGTAGAATTAGCTCATCTGGTTGTGATTCCTATCTGGTTTACCCCAGGAGGCTGACATCAATCTTGCAAGTCTGAAAGTATAATTCTCCTCCATCTCCTTTGCCCCCGAGAAACTAGGGAGGGTCCCTTCTGAGCCTCCTGCCCCACCCATTATCCAGCTGGGGGCTATGCTATCTCTTATCTGACTGTTACCTTGGCAGCATCTCTTTGCACAGTCTCCCAAGGTCTTTCCCACATACCATTACATTATTAAAATCTGGGAAAACCCAATCATAGGACAACATTTTTTTCTTAGAGGGGACTCCTATTTTGCACAAGGTCCTGGTGAAGATCAACCAGAATTTGACCGACTGCATTGTCATCACACTTGGTGTCCTCAGCAACCATGGTACACCCTGTTGTTCTGGCTCCCTTGTTGGGGGTTCCTCTACCAAGACAACTTGACCACTTCTCCATCTATCATGGGTAGGTCTTCTATCTAGACCTCATTTCCCTCTGTGACAGTGTGGAGGACCCAGTTTAGGTGTCCCTCTGGGAGGAGGTAGCACAGATCTTGGTGACTTCTCAGAAACCTTCCATACAACTTCCTGTATCAATAGTTGGAAATCCATTTGCTCAGGATCTGCAGCTTTATTCCATGCAGTATGAGATCCATCCCTTTTTGGGCCTTTCTTCTGCATCTAAAACAGTGAGGCTGGGCTCTCAAACAAGAGTGTACCTAGTGGCCATAATCTCCTTTCTTCCTTTGTTGGGAGGCAAATCTCTCCTTTTTTTGCCTGCTAGTGAAGCATTTCATGAAAGGTCTAACACATCTTTATTTTCTGTTGTCTCTGCCACTTCCAGCCTGGAGTCTCTCCTTTGTTCTTTCAAGATTAAAGCTCAAGCACTTCATGCCCATGGCTACCATCTTGATTCACTTCCTCTCATAATAGCCAGATAATGTTAAGTTCTTGAGCTGAAGAATTAACAACTTATGAAGAGATCTTCCTTATGAAGACAAGCTAAAGGAACTGGGGATGTTCGGTCTGGAGAAAAGGCAAAGACACGATAGCTGGGTTCAGAGATATAATAGAAGCTACGGGGAAGATGGTGAAGACCTTTTTTCTATGGCCACAGAAACTAGGACCAGAAATAGCAGGGATAAGTTGCAGCTATCTAGAATTTAATGAAAATAACATTCATGGCAAGATCTGTCCAACAGTGGAACAATCTACCTATGGAGGTTGTGTGTGCTCTCTTTCCCTGGTGGTTTTTAAGAAGAAGCTGGAGAGTCACCTCCTGAAGATGATTTAGTTGGTTTTCCTGCAAGTTGCAGAAGTTTAAACTAGATGATCCTAGGATTGTCCCTTTCTTATTTCTTGTAGTGACAAAGTAGAAGGTATTTCCTTCCTCCCTTCCAAAATCACCCTTCAGTTTGAACCAAAACATTCCTGTTTTCCCAATCTCTCAGCACCATTGGGAACATTTATTTATTTGTTTATTTAATGTATTTATATTTCAAATTTGGACACTGCCCATCTCACGAGAAAAGTCTTCATACTTTGGCATTGGGAACATTCATATTTTGGATGCTTTCATTCATGTCTACACCATGTGGCTTTGCTTGACTGTTTATTTCTGGCCTTTCAAAGGTCATGTGAAGGGCATGCTCTTCCCCCAGTGTCTCCAAGTGGTCTTGTCAACTATCAAGCTCCGCCATGACCTGGAGAATCAGCCATGCCTCTTTCTGATCCTCGTTCATTCCAAAAGACCAACGGGAGTATTAGCAGTCTTCCTATTGGAGTTGCGCTAAGCAGCCATGTGTGCTTGGCCCTCCACCTCCACCTAGAACTACAGTTAGGGCCATCTTTGCAAGGACTGTCCTCCTTTTCTTCTGTCACCTTATGAAGACCACCACCTCCTCCAACTTAAGAAGTTTGTTGCTCACCTGTGTGTGTGTGTGTGTGTGTGTGTGTGTGACTCACAGAGATCCCATGAAGAAGATCTTGTTATTTAGCTGCAGATGCAGCTTTCAAGGGGTCATCTGAATTCACACAACCTGCCTTCCTACCCTCCTTGATCTTAGGTGGCCTCACTGTCCCTTTGGACCTGAAGGAGCTTGGTGAGAGCTGTGCCTGGTTACATGTTCCACAAGGGGCCCAGGGCTCCCACCATCAATTCTGTAGGCTCTAGGAGTTTCTGAGCAGGGGACCACTTGGAAGAGTGGCTGATGATTGATTATATGCCATCAAGTTGGTGTCGACTTGGAAGAACAGCTCCAATAAATATCCTCTTTTTTCTGGCATGACCCACAAAAGAGCCATTTTCTTACTTTGTTTAGGACAGACTTGGGTGGAATCCTATATATTTTCCATCCTTCTAGGACTGCCTTCTTTTACCATATGGGTGTTGCGTTCCCAGCACTCTGGAGTGCATCCCATTTGGATAAAGCTGCCCGAGAACTTTCCCAGGGTCATAATTTGCATCTATGGATGAACTGTAGATTAAACATCAAAGTCATCCCATTGCCCTTGAGCACTGTTGACATGGAGAGAGAGTTACTCATGTTATGAAGTCTAAAAGCATATTGTTGGTTCAGTGCAGTGGTTAAGGTCCTGGATGGGAAGCTCTGTGGGTGACACTCTCAGCCCAGCCTGCTTCACAGGACTGTTGACAGGGAGGGAGGGAGGGAGGGAAGGAAGGAAGGAAGGAAGGAAGGAAGGAAGGAAGGAAGGAAGGAAGGAAGGAAGGAAGGAAGGAAGGAAGGAAGGAAGGACAGCTAAACACTCCACCTTAAGCTGCAGGAGGATTGGTGAGAAATAAAACCACATAGCAATATATCCGCATATCTGATTGACATTTGGTTCCCACTGCACCAGCCTTGAACAGAGGTGTCTCCTCTCGCGTTTGGCTTGGGATCATGCAAACCCCACACACACCTACAAACCATTTCCCCTTTTCTTCTCTCATCTGGGTCAGTGGGCAATGGCCATCATTCCTGGTTTTCAAAAAGTTGAGAGCTCGAAAGGAAAAGGACACCCAAAGAGCGGCACCTCATGTTGCAACCCAACACCCAAGCACCTGAGAAAATTCTGCGGTGGGCCATGAAAAACAAAGGCACCCTGTAGCTTACCTCCATGATTGCCAGCCCCCTTCTTCTCTTGGCCCAGAGGGGTTCATGCAGTGCTGCACCCCCTCCCTTTGGCCAGTCTTTTGGGCAGGGACCCCAGGCATAAAGAACCTCAGGATCTCCTGAGTGCTGGGGTGGAAGGTTACAGGAGAAGAGCTGGTCAATGCAATAGTATTGGAATCTCCAGCCGTGGAAGGGTGGACAGCTGTTGTGGGAGAAAAGGCAGATATCCATCTCTTTGAGTAAGCTGTGGGTTCTCCAACTCCAATTTTTATTCAGGAAAGCAAACCAACTGGAGTCTTCCATATTCAAGTTTGGGAAAAGCTAACACTGCTCTTGAGAAAGACAGAAAGATGGACTTTCATTGACAAGTTTGTTCAAAAACATCAGAAAGAGCCTGGGAGCCCCTTTTCCGACTCACCAATTTTATTCCAAAATTCATGAAAGCTTCTGCCTTGGAATAAAACTAGTGAGTTGGAAAAATGCTCCCAGGGTCTTTCTGATGTTCTGCTGCCACAGACAAGCACGGCTCTCCCCCTGCAAAGTCCACTCAAAGCCTCCTTGATTGAAAAATCCAACTCATCGATGAACAACATTTTCAAGTAGCCGGTTCACCCTCTTCATCTTCCTGGATGCGTTGCTTGTCCAGAACCAGCTCTTCTGACTGAAGCTTTGACACTCCCTTCTCCCCCAAGGATTGCCTGTTCTGGCTCCCCCGGGCGGAGAACCAGATATTGGAGCTTTTTTGTCCTCAAGCCAACCATCGCTTCAATTCCATGTTTGGTCTTCAGGCCTGCATCTCTTGGGAAGCCATCAGCCAATCATCAGCTCTTCTGTGGAGCAACAGATGCCCTTAAGGAAGCAGCTAAGTGGTGGGAATTCAATAAAGACGGGGAGGGATTTACTCATGCCTCGAGCATGACATCCATGTAATAAATGCTCCTGGAAAACTTGTGTTTGGTCGGCAACGCCCAGGGTGTGGTCTGTACCTGCTGCCACGCACAAGATTGGGCTTTCAGCACATGGCTCAGAAGAGCTGACAGGCAACATCTCTGCTGCCAAGACTTCAGAAGCGCAGGTAACAATGTGGTTAATGCACTCACAGAAATGTGCTTTGGGATGCCTACTTGCCCCTGGCGGTGCACACATGATGCACACACTCCACTATTCACTTAACTGGGATTTATAAGCTTAATCCAGTTGGGGGCAGGTATGACCCTCAGCTACAAACTAGCTGCACAGGCTGGGTTCATGTTACACACCAGACACAAATATGGCCACTAGTCAATGTGTCAGTGCAAACTCAGCCTTAGTTAAAGAGGATAATTTCTTGAACGCATTCTGGATGAATGCAGCACGGGGGAAGATGATCCTGTTAGATGAGCTGAATGGGTGGATAAGAGTAAAATGAAATTGTACAGCAAATCTGGCGGGGCGGTTTGGAGATCTCGTCCAAACGGGGACTCTTAGAAGAGCTTCGGATGAGGAAACAATGTTTGGTTTCCAATACAGGGCTTAAGCATAAATCTCTTTGTATGTGCACAGGACAAAGGAATAAATCTAGTCCAGGAGTATGTTTGATTTTGGTTTGGTGGGTTATGGCGAAAGGTTGAGAGCATCAGCAAAGAATGCAAGGCTGACGAGAAGTTC